ACAGTTCAAACACTGCGACCAAATCAGTTTAAATCAATATCGGGCACCACTATCGCGAGTGGTAAAACCACATAAAACACCCAAGTGTTCACTACATGCGAACTACTCTGGGCCAGCCAGCGCTTTGCGGGACACGTCGTTTAGCTCTCGATTAGCTTAACATCGCCAAGGAGCAATTCGAAGAGATGATTCGTGAATACGTAACACGACGCTCGGATTCACCGTGGGCGTCAACGCTACATTTAGTGCCAAAGAAAGGAATGGTTGGCGGTCGTGCGGAGATTACCGCGCGCTCAATTCACGCACTATCCCTGATAGGAAACCGGTCCGACAAAGGACTGCACCCACCGGCTTGCAAGTGCTAAATTTTTTTTTCAAAAATAGGTTTAATCATACATCGCCTACAATCATATATAACTGTGTATGCAGGTGACCTTTGCAAGACGGCTGTAACTACACCTTTCGGAATGTTCGATTTCCCTTTTATGTCATTTGGACTTCGAAATGCTGCCCAAATCTTTCAGAGGTTTTCTAAATGAAGTACTCAGGGATCTAGACTTTATTTACTCCTACATTGATGACGTGCTCATTTACTCCAAAGACTCTGAGCAGTACTAACAGCATCTAAGACAAGTTTTTGACAGATTTCAAGAGTATGATATGCTCATTAACGTGTCAAAGTGAAGTTTTCGACAGAAAGTAGTCACATTTCTCGGATTTACTGTCTCTGAAAAAGGCACACGTCCCATCGACGACAAAGTAAAAACACTGCAGGAGTTTCCACCTCCAAAGACGGTTGGTGGTTAACGCAGATTCCTCGGCAAGCTGAACTTTTATCCAAGATTTGTGCCTCACGTTGCCGATGATCAAGCGACCCTCCAAGGCATGGGCATAAAATCAAAAGCTCCACTCCACTCACTTGGACTGAGCAACTGGGAGCTTAGAGTAATAACGCCAGCGTTGTCGAAATCCCTAAAAATCTCGGTTAAAATCCCCAAATTTGGGGAAAGCAAAGTTCATGTTCCCCAGAAATTCTCCACATCTCGAGTTTTCATTATTTATTACAAATACATCGCTTAAATATAATTATAATAAAGAATTAAGAAACTCAACATGTAATCATCTATTACGTTTGCTGTAAATGTAAACAGAATGTAAAATGTAAAGCAAATTATAAAATTAGATGACCTTAAATCGTTTATTTATTTTAATGAGATTCAACATTAATCAAACTTTGAAAAAAAAATATTTTTTTTTGCCTCACAAAATTATAATCATAACACATATATTTAGAAACATGTTATAATTCCCACATTTTCCCCACATAGTGCCAATCCTCACAAAATCCCCATTCTAGTTGAAATTTCCCGCTATTTGGGGGATTCCCCACAAATTGGCAACCCTGCAAGAGAGGCAAAAATCAAATTCATGTAGGCGTAAGCAACTTGTATTTACGCTCGTCGGCACGCACACAAACATACAAATAATGATGCCATGGAATAACATTTACCTCAAAAGTGGGAAAATTGTCTCTTGCTTAACTTATCATTAAATACTACCCAATTTTTATTCAATTCATATATGAACAAAAACATTTTAAAAAGCGAGTTTAAGTACGACTATCGAATTTTCATGAAAATTTGGATATACAAATAGCCTGATATTATCTCTGGATAAACACACGAAAAGTACATGATGACAATAAGGAACCTGAACCTGAAAGTTATATAATACACTTTGGAGAACTGAAGATGACTTTTTTAGTCAGTGCTAGTTCCCTGAAATAAGTTTAGTTAAGAACTTTTGAGTCTGAGCAAAACAATTTTTTTTAAATGAGTCCTGAATGAGTACAAGGTAAGGATTTTCACATGAAACTAATGAAGGTAATTACTAAATATATTCCATACATAGCTAACGTAAATTCCCTACAATGTTGAAGCGGCATTCTACATTTGTAGAAATTCTGCAACTGTCGCGATATTGCCTATTCACAAAAAATTACGTATTATAATTATTTTTAAACAGAATAGCAAAATGGGGAGAAAAAAATTCGTTGCTTTGCAACATTTTCGTATCTTGTTGCAACAAAATTAATTTTCATTCAGTTTTAGTGAATATTTACATAAAAATACAAATTGAAACGCGTTCTTTCTTGGTGGAATGTGATGTTAGTACCCACTTTGTTTGTCTGACGTATTTTTACTCATTTACCGCAAATTTCGTCATTTTTGGCTAAAATTCTTGAGTCATTACGCTTCCCTGGTGAGTTCTTTCATTCTACTAATTCACACATGCGTTGCTGTGCCGCCTGACGATTTCGCTACAGAATTTAAACGGCAAATAACGGGATACCGGATATCCGTTTCATAGCTATAAGCATTGCACAGGCTAGCGATGGGCAAGTCGAGTTATTTAACTCGAGTAAAGTTATTCCCACCACGAATCAACTCGAGCTACTTTTTTTATGAACTCGAGTTATAGAGAGAGTATGTACTTACTTATAGAGATTCATTCACACAGCGCATCGGTTACTCGTTCTCATTCGTTCGGCAACCTTCGGAGCATGCTCGAGTAGGGACGGACGATTTTTTGCTTTGAATCGATTATTTGGATCGTAATGGGTCATGCCTCTGAGGCGACTTGCGGATTGGATCTTAACCAAAATGAAATGAATGAATGAATTTATCCACTTGAATCGATATCATAAATATCGTTTCAAATTTTGTTATAAATAAAACACTTGACCATGACTTTGCCATAATAATATGCAAATATTTTTTTTGCTTTTCACAGATGCCAATCCTTTACATCTAACTAAACTTTTCAATAACAATGTCATTTAACTTAATGTCCTTCTCTTTATTTTTCGTTTCTGTTCTTGACGAAATTATTAATAAGATGAGACTTTGGTTTAAATTATGAATACGATCAAGACGATACGATTCGCCTTAATTTTGAATCGATTCGCTTAAAATGGCATTGAAATGAATCGATTAAAAAAATCTCTAGGACGCACGCTTTGAACCGATTATCATAAAAATCGAATCGGAATGTGCATTCCTACTCTCGAGCCGCGGTCGGCCGGTCAATAGTGATGAGAGACCGAACTATTGGTTAGATTGAGATCGAATCATCACACGATTCACGTCAACGAATACGATAAGGCTACCAAAGAAGGTTCTCAATTTAGTGCACCGAAAGAAGAACATAAGACTTAATTAATAGTATATTTTTTATTGGGACTAAAATGAGCCAAATGTAGGTAGTTAGACACTCAAGCTTTAGCGAAGGTTTGTATTACTCCGAGGCTTTATAATGGCTTTTATTTAGTCTCGAGGTGAAAACTTTACTTTTTACTTCGATTGCGAGAAAAAGAAATATTTCAATCAAACGAAAAAAAATATTCAAACACAGATACACGAAACGAATTTGCGCGGTAAAATAATATGGCGCCACTATCTGTGCAGAAAAGGTATGGAACTAATACCGAGCTGTTTTTTAGGCTCGGTTTTTTGAAGTAAATTAAAAAATTGGGTACTTTTTACTCCCTAGTTTTAAAAGATGTACTTTACTCCCGGTACATCAGGCTGTATTGATGTATTTTTAGAGCAAGAGAAGTGAATTTTTTTTAAATTGTATTTTAAACTTGATTTTAACTGACTAATGACGATTTTTTAAAATATTTTCTTATAATAAAACAGTCGCTTAGTAGAATTGTGTTTTAACATTTAAATCCATTTATTTGTCTATCTTTATTGGTGTCGATCGAGTTTAACTGTCTTGGCACTCATTCTACGCCTGAAATATAATTTCAATAACACGACTCATACATACTAAGGTCAATCGACTCGACTCGTAAATTGTCACTGTGCGTGCCCAACTCGGTGAATCGTCGGTTCTAGTTAATAGGAATGTATCGATTGCTCTGTCAGACATCGAGTCGAGTCTATTCGAGTCAGTAATCACATCAATCGAGTTGGAAAAAATACATACAATTCGTCCCATCGCCAGCACAGGCCACTGTTGCCAGATTAGTAGACTTGTGTTTGATCGGTCCTTAAAGGGAGCGATCCTAGTTAGTTCAATCGGTCAACTGAACTGGGTCGGTCTTCTAGTTCATTTAGTTTATCTAGTTCCTTAGTTAGTTAGTTAGTTCGTCTTGTCCTTGCTCGGACACTTAACGAACGCTACTAACTAGTCATTCATCATTATTCACATGAACTACTACGGACTTCTCGTATTATGAGGTCAATAGTACACTGTATTAAATATTTAAAAATACAATTTGTATGGAATAGGTACTATTTAATTTTCCTTCATATTTTACATGTTTAAAGACTGTTATTTGAACTAAATATCCTTTTTTTTTAACAAAACAAGAATTTGCAACGAGCTGGCAACGTTCAATCTTGCATCCCACTCCATATTGTACTAAAAGCAGTGAAAGATCGCTATTTGTCCCGCTCGCACCGCTCCTACAGAATAAAAGACAGGTGAACTATCTACGCAGACAGTTCCTAGTTCGTACTGAACTAAAAAGAACGATGAACTGTTAAAACCGTACAAGACGAACTAGTTCATGTCGGTCAGTGTCGGAATGTATTCAAAATAGTTCGTAGTTCATGAACTATACAAGCCTACAGATTAGGCGATTTTTCGCCATGTAGGCTACATTGAGGGGTCGCGCGGCGACTAAAAAAGTCGTCGGCGACTCGGCGATATTTAGGCTGTTTGAAATAGGAAAAGGCGATTTTAGGCTACTTAATAAAATCTCTGGGGAATTACAAATTTTTTGTGGGGAATGGACTCATTTGGGGGGTTTTAAGTATTTCGACGTATGAGGAATTGTTGCCGAACATTGAGGAATATGAATAGTCTTATTTTTCCAATTCCCCAATGTCCGACAACAAACAGAATTGTAAAATTGTTTTTCTTGATTTTTAGGGATTTTATGGCTTGGGCGACATAATATTGGCTACATTGGCGAATTAACTTCACAAAAGTCTGGCAACACTGTGGCAGGCTATCGTTTTTTACTATTCTATGATAACTTGTTTAATTTAGTAATTCAGAATGACTGTATTCGACGAAATAGAAATCGAAGACTTCGAATATGACGACGATGAAGAAACGTACTATTATCCTTGTCCTTGTGGAGATCGATTTGAAATAAGTAAGGTTAGAATTATATTTTGGTTCACAAATCATATTATTTGTAATATAGAATAAAATACTTTAGTTAGACAGGCACAGACTGTTTAGATCAATTATAATGTTTTGTTTCCAGGCAGAATTAATTGACGGCGAAGAATTGGCGACTTGTCCCAGCTGTTCCCTCGTAGTCAAAGTTATCTACGATTTGGTAATAAATATATTATTTATTATACATTTACCCACTACACTTGGTACTTCGGGTAACTGCTGGCTGGTGTCCGCAACTCGACGTCAAGGCGCCTATTTTTATACAATGTATTTCTATTTCACTATGTATTTGTTTTCTTGTCTATCCAGAACTTGTAAATTTTCAGGAAAAGTTCAAGGCAGAGGCCGAAGAAATAAAAAAAGAAGGTGGTGACAAAGAGACATTAAAAATTTAAGATACTGAAAATTAGTTTAGTAGAAGTGATTAACTATGATCAGTAAGTTTGAGAACTAAGAGGAAAGAAGACTAAAGAACTGAAGGACAAAAGGTAGGGCTTAGCCTTGAAAAGTGCTCAGACGACTTTGTCTTGTGATTACAGTGTGTGATACTCATTATTTTGTGATTATTTATAACGTGTTGCTATTATAATAATTAAAAAATAAGTTTTTGTGAAGTCCATATTATAGTTTTTTATCCTATATTTAGATTAGACAAAATTTTAAATTTTCCATATTTATTGATTGGTTTAAAAATTCTAAATTAACAAACATGTCATGTATTGCAAAAGTAATTACAATTATTATTGACAATTAATTAACCACTTTAATGTTAAGCAGAACAATCATAATTATTATTATTATTATAATTAGGGTGGCTTCATTTGGGGCCTATGGGGCCCCTCATCACTTCGACCATAAATGATCTATTGTGATCACCACTAATCACAGCTCGGAGCCAAGACCAACAGCATTAAGGAACTGAAGGACTTTCCTGGCTCCGACAGTCTTTGTCCTCTGGGTGTGGTGTGGCCTGTGCCTACCCGTATGGAACTTCTCACGCCCACGCCCGGGCAGCACTGGGTGAGGAGAAGCACAGGGAGTTTCATCCGCCTCTTGGCAGAGTCTACATTCTCTGTTTTCTCTCTGTCCAATATTTGACACGTACTTATTCAAGCCACAAAGCCTGTTAATGTTCTAGTCAGCATCCTGATGCCATTCCTGTCCAGTGACAGAGCTTCTCTATAGTGTTTGGCACTGAAGGCAGCTATCAGGGCTTTAGAATGCTCAAGATCCTTAGTCTGCAGCCACACGTCTTGGGAAACATGGGAGCTCTCGTTCAGCAAAGTGAGCTTTGCCAGGCTGTGTGCTATTCCTATAAAGGGCTCAAGACCAATGAAGGCCTCCCTAGCACCAGCCTTTGCCAGTTCATCCGCTGCTTCATTACCCTCGATGTCAGAGTGACCAGGAACCCAACGCAGGACTACATTATTCCTTTCCCCGAGAGTATTCAGTATAGTTATGCAGTTCTCTACAATCCTCGAAGTTTGGGTTACTGAGGTTAGTGCATACAGCGCGTCTTGACTATCTGAGTTCATAGACATATAATTGTTAATGTAGCCTCACTTCAGGTTTAGATCCGCACAAGCAATTATGGCGTATATTTCGGCCTGAAAGATAGAGGAGCGAGTCTGGGTCTCACGCCGCCGCCGTGTATACTACAGCCTACGTTGGGTCCCATCTTGGACTCATCGGTATACCAAAGAAGGCTACCATCCTTCCAGGTGAGACTGTAAGTTTCCCAGTCTTCCCTGGTTGGAAATTCTACCTGGTAGAGTTTCTTAAGTTTTGCTTGGAAAGCATGACATCAGAAGTCACTCCCAGAACAGGATGTTCCAGATTTGAGTCCTGGGCCGATCTCAATGTCTGGGAGAGCCATCTAGTCCTTAACCTGGTGGAGAGCCTATACATGCTGTTACCGGCCTCCTGTATGAATACATGCAGGGGAGTCAGATTCAGCAATGCATTTAGAGCCGCCCCAGGTCTAGTGGACATGACTCCCGTTGTTAGCAGGCACGCGACGCGCTGTAGACTGCCCAATGTGACAATAATGGTTGTTTGACTGACTTTGCCACTCCAAACAACAGATGCATATGTTACTATGGGCCTCACAATTGCCTTGTATAACTAGAGAGCCATCTTTGGTTTAAGAACCCAACGCTGTCCTACCATACGACTACAGATACCTAAGGCCATCTTGGCCTTGTTGACCGTGTTAGCTATATGACAGTTCCATCTTGGGGTTTGATCTAGGGCTACCCCTTAATATTTAACTTCTGCTGAAAAACTCACAGCCTTGCCATCAATCGGTTCCACTAGCTTGCCTAGTTTCCGCTTTCTTGTGAAAGGAACAATAGTTGTCTTGTCGGCATTCATAGATAATTCGTTATCTTGACACCACGCGAAAATGGTGTCAAGAGCTCCTTGCATAAGTGATGATATGGTACTTTGGCAGTGCACTGGAACTGTGATACGTCATCCGCATATCCCTGGGCGTCAATGTTCAGTTCAGCCAACCTATACAGGAGCTGATCGACAACAAGAGTCCAAAGGAGAGGAGAAATTACTCCACCTTGCGGGTAACCCCATACTGTGGAGGCCACAAGCCGGTCCTCGTGTAACGAGATACTGGCTCTGCGGCTTAAGAGCATATTTTACACCCATCTCGTAGTAGAAGTGTCTACACCTGAGCAGCTTAGTCCCTTTACCAGAGTACGAATGGGGGTATTGTCAAAAGCACCCTCTATGTCTAGAAAGGCACATAGTGCTATTTGTTTGTCCTCAAACGCTTTTTCAGCCCTGTCCACAAGGTGGAGCAGAGCTGTCTCTGTGGATTTTTCACTTTGATAGGCGCGTTGAGTGTGATGGATAGGTCTATATATTAAGGACGAAGCCCTAATGTGATTGTCAAGTACCTTCTCCATTGCTTTGAGCAAGAATGAGGTTAGGCAGATGGGTCTAAAGGACTTTGCAAGAGAGTAGTCCTTTCTGCCTACCTTTGGTATAAATACAACTTTGCACGTTGTCCATTGTATTGATATGTGTCCCCAAGCAAGACTGGCTCTATATGTTTTGACCAGGTACGGCAAGAGTACACTTATACTCTGCTGCAGTAAGGTGGGAGTACTACTGTCCTCACTTGGGGATTTGTACAATTTAAACCAGCTAATAGCCCAAGCCACTTTTCGAGGTCTAATAATGTTGGCGGCATTGTTCCAGTCCTCGTTGCGAGGTGTATGTACAATCATAATAGTCCTGCCCATGTTATGTAGTGGGGATATGAGTACTATCAAAATCCTACTGGACCCACTAGCGGAACCAAGAGTGGATCCGAAAGGGAACAAAATAACATTTGATCTATAAGGAAGATGCTCTTACATCTGAAGTTTAAGGAACTCTTGGTAGTCACCACAATGCCAAATTGATAGCGTGGCCCACTTGTCACATAAGTCACTTGTATTAGTATGGTTTCGTTTTAGTGACACTAATAAATGCCCATATTCTCTGTGTTCATATTTGTGTCACTAAAAAACTCTATGCCCCATCTCCTTAACTATGTTTAAAGGATTTTTGCAAGTTTTTATTTGATGTGTATTATTTGAAGTGATGAGTAATATTTCTCGAGTTGAAATATTGATTTCAGAATCAGTGAAGGTATAGACAGATCTAGCCTTCAAATTGGGAGTGATCAATTAAATATCCATCCAACACGCAGAACAAAGGTGCAAGTAATTACATCTACACTGTTCTCTCTACACTATTAATATAAATAAATACCATAAAATACAATGTCATCTCATCTATATTTTAAACCAGATTAAATATCTTATAACTAGAAGTTGAAATAATATTAAAAAATTATGTTATCAATTATCATACAGATGTCGATTTTGTTAGACACTTTATGCAAACCAGGCCATTGACATTTCACGTAACAATATTTTCACTGAATAACCTTTACGTAAATTAATAAAGCCTACGTTAGATTATTCTGGACCCGGATCTGCGGCGGCTGGTGAGGTATAATTCACAGGTATTCAGACGTAATAATTTGCGCAACAGAATCGACATCATTAGTTGAATATATAAAAGTCACTATTAATACCTTATTGATATAACAAACTGGCTAGCTAAGAGTACACAGTTATCTCTTTCTAAAACATCACACTAATACCTTTGTTCGTCAACTAGAATCTGATGACAAACAGTTTGTTTTTCATTACAGTACCTACATGTACTTCATTATACTAATTTTATTAGATTCCGAGAACCTAACTAACTATACACGATATTACAGGATTGAAATTTAAAGAATAAAGGTCATGTCTAAGAAAACAGTAAGAATATTGTAGTAATACAGATCTGTTAAAAGTCCGTGCTTAATTTATAGCAAAGAGAAAATAAATAAGATTTTCGAGGAACGACTAGACATCGTATAATTTATAAAGGAGAGGCTATTTATGCACCTATTATAAAACAAAACCGTCACTGAATTCATATCAGAGTTCTTAGGTTTTCGCGATTGTTAGGTATACATAGGAAATGAAACTATTTTTCCGGATTTCAATCACGTATATTTGTTTTTTACAAACAAGCCGACGTTTCGGGCCCTTTATGGGTCGCATGGCACCTTACCGTGACCATGATGTGTGTAAGGGGCCCAAAATGTTGTTTTCTTTGAAATATAGTTTCGTTTCCTACGTCACTGAATTATTACACCATTACGTGCGCTCTCATATATGTACACAGGATATTATGAAACGCGCGATATGTAATGATGATATATGCGTAATGCACTTTCGGTACACGTATTATTATTTAATTAATATAGTATTGGCTTCTATATGAAAGTGGAATTCCATTAACTATTCATTGATAAATTTAGTCTCATCCAACTTATCCCATTGTTTTCCTACAAAAAATATTGTGGCAGCTGTTAATTGCTTATTTGATCATAATATAACAAAGTAATTGTAGTGCTACAGTGTTCACATTAGTAGTATTAGTAAATTAGAGGAATGTGGAGGTGGATAATCTCAGATTCCTCACTGATCTAATTTCAATGGAATAATGGGATCTTGGACATTCAATATATATAGCAAGCCCGCTTACATCAAAACTATATCAATAAAAAAAATTAAACCTATTAAAACCGTTAATAAAGTAATTTTATATTCTTATAATTACTATTCCTATTGTTTGTTACAATTTAACAGAGATCTTGATTATGATTGTTACTTAGTATATGTATGTAGATTGAATTAGCCCATGTAGCAGTGATATCATTTGGAAGGACTAATTTGAGCTATCAAATGAAATCTAGATTATACAAACTAACACCTTTTTATCTTAAAAGTTTACATCTACTACATACTACATTAGCCGTAATGAAGCAATTTATATGTATAACAATTTTGTGTAGGTACAATTTACCTAGAAATGCATAATAATTTTCTAATAATATTGTGTAATAGTAAAAAAACTATATCTAATATAAAAGTTAATTACAAACTGGTACTTGGTAAACATGTACTTAATAGTGTTTTAGTAATACGATTTTTTTAATAGTTTATACAAGGCCAGGTACATGCTACTGGACGTGTTAAAGCAACAAGTTGCCCATTGTAAGAAATGTCCCACGCAAAGCAAACGTTTATTAAAAATTTCAATATAATCAATCACACCCAATCATACCAGTACAGTTACATTTTGGTGTGCAATGTAATTCGCTAAGCATAAATCGCAACTAGCATTTAACATAAAAAATAATATTTTATATCCATTACATCCATAAATAATTTTTAATGATGTGCATCACAGGTAAATAGTTTATCCTTCATTGCTAGTGTTCAGGCCTTATTACTATACTTATCTAAAAAAAAATACTTTATAAAGCCAAATCTCTTTTGTCTAATGTCTCTAAAGGTTTTTCTAAAAGTTATTTTTTCATTTTTTAATAATATTTGTAACATAAAACGTGTTTCGATGTCAAATTGGTCACGCTACAGTTTGATTTAAGGCTATCAATATTGCTTGGCTTGAAACACTGTGTATTAACAATAATTAGGTCTTGATCACTAGAACAGCACACCAATAGTGAAACTATTGTTGTTATGGCATGGCCATACACAGCTTTGCAATCACAAGTTTATTGTACTGAGAATGGCACTGTTGTCTATGTGCACCTCCTAACATGTTATTTTTATTATAAAATTACATTTTATATCACATACTCTGTCATTCTGGCAGCATGCCTTGCAATAAGTCTTCCTGCATATAAATCCTGTGACCAAGATCTAACCCTCTAGACATATTACTCTCATTTAGGCTCTTCTACACGGTTCTGGGTGGAACATTTGGAGCTGCAGGCTGAAGTGGTGTTGTCGGAGATGCCACTAAGGAAGGTGGTGGCGACAGACTAGGCGTAAGTATATTGAAGTGACGTACCGCGGCCTCCAGAGCCACATTGTTTCCACTAAAGTACGCTGAGACGGCATTGTGGAAGAGGAGTAATTGTTTGTTCATTACTTTCACCTGTTAACAGAAAAAATAAACAAGTCCTGCTGTAAAAAACCCTGATGCACTTTCTGACAAAGTATGTGAAACTATGCTAACCCAAAATTTATATAAAAAATAGCTGTAGCAAATCGCAACAGTCTTTACTAATCTTTTTGTACATATATTTTATATAATCTTTTTAGCAGTGTAGTTTTAGATTGAAATGAAATTTAAATGTATTTGTTTTTGGCACCTATTTCTTAGTTATTGTCATTGTTTGCTCTGTTTCGTTCATGTAAGTTCATTTCCTTTAGTCTTGCTCACTCTTCATTAGTACCCAAATCACATTGAAAGTCCGCTACTGCAGCACTAGCAAGAAACCAATGTTTCAGAGTTTCATATGAATGTCTAGCTCATATGTTCCCAAACTTTTTAGCTCACCGCCCACTTTTGGGTAAGACAAAAAAATTTCAAGGCCCACCACCACAAAAAATTATTAAAAGACTTATTTTTATATTAACTTAACACAAAAAATTTGAAGGAACAAACAAAAAATATATATGTAGTGTAGTTTCCATAGATAATTCAGGTTTTTTTTAATCAAATGTGGTAGTACCTCCTCGACAGCATCAACGCCCGCCCTCCAGTTGCTTCTGAGGAGCGTCCACTGGGAGGCGGTAGGGACCTCTTTGGGAAACTATGGTCTAACTAATTGACTTGGGAAACTATGGGCTAACTGGTGGCTGTAAAATCTACTTACTCTATTTTCATGTAGTAATTTCAGTTTGACAGCAGAGTCGTCACGTAAGCGTTCGTAATGTCGGCGGTGTCTCTCAATGTTAGCAAGCAATATTTCAGGGGGATTCCCTCCACTACCTTCTAACTCACTGCGATATGCATCATACTCTACCCTGTAAAAATACATGTATGAAATCAAGTATCTACTACTACTATCTTTATCTAAGTAACAGTAGTCATGTTAAATTGTTCATGGACAGATAATTTTATGCAATTTTAGTACTATGTGAGGCGCATTATAAGTTTCCGGAATGTATAAGAAAAAAATACTATAACAGGTGAGAAATTAATTTAGTGTTTTTAAAATATTCTCCATTAGCAGTAATACACTTTTACATATGAATGAACCAATTTTGAAAACATTTATGCCACTCCTCCGTGACAATCTCTGAAACATATTTTTCATAATCTTCGACAGCCTCTTCAGGTGATGAAAATCGTTCACCGCGTAACTGGTTCTTAATTTTTGGAAATAAATAAAAGTCACAAGGTGCAGGGTCGGGCTTGTACGCGGGATGGCTCATATGGTCAACGTTGTTCACCTTCAAAATTCATTTGTTTGTCTGGCCGTGTGAGAACTGGCATTGCCGTGGTGCAAGATGATACGGTGTTTACGGTTATTTTTACGGAGTTTGTCAATAACTTCCGGCAAACAAATGGTCGTGTACCAATCATTATTCACGGTACAACGATTCTCCAAAGCAACAGTAGCCACGTGTCCAGTTTTATTAAAAAAATAAGCAATCATCCGCTTAGAGGCACTTTGCACGCGCGCCACTTTGGTTGGTTTCGGCTCATCTCGAAAGACCCATACGCTCGATTGCTGCTATGTTTTGGGATCGTGATTATAAATCCATATTTCGTCACCTGTTACGTTGTCCCACACCAAATTTGACGCCCCTTCGTTGAATCTGGTAAGCATGGCATTGCACCAAGTGACGAGATCCGTTTTTTGAGCCTCATTCCAATTGTGGGATCCACCAAGAGCACAGCTTTTTCACACCCAAATGTTTGTGTAGTATTGATTGTATTTGACTCATGCCTATGCCTAAAGATGCCTGAATCTCATGGTATCTGACATGCCTGCCTGTTTTGATCATACGGCGCACAGCGTCGATATTTTTGTTGTTCACAGCAGTCGACGGGCGACTATCACGAAATTCGTCACCGAGATTCACACAACCGCGTTTGAATTCTGCAAACCAGCTGTAAATAGTCGTCTTGCATGGTGCTTCATTACCAAAAGCAGTTTGAAGCCGAGTGAAGCTCCGCTGAGCTGTTAAATTTCACTAAAAGTCGTAGAAAATCATACTACGAAAATTTTCACGAGTTAAATCCATGGTGATGGCGACAACCAATTTCTAAAATGTCGCCACAAAGTAAAAACAAGTGACAGTCAGATGAAACAGACTGTATTCTACAGCCAAAGAGTTCCATTTCAAATGTTGTAATTAAATTTTAAATATTGTTTATGTAAGTGGCCACTTCCAGAAACTTATAGTGCACCCAATGTAGCTGTAATATTCCGCATGTAGGCTCACCAGTAAAAGATTAAGATTTCTCACTACTCACCATCAATGCAGCAATGTTAAACTAAGGCCTAATGACTCACCTTGCAGCCTCATACTGTCTTATAGTAAGTAGTGTATCTTCAATAGTCTTGTTAGTAAGAGTGTTAAGAGAGTTGTTAAAAAAATGCAGTGCAGCAAGAAGAGTCTCTCCATTACGTGTCAAAGACCGTTGTGTATCAGCATTGTAGAGAAATCTGTGAAGAAGATTGTTATCATAATAATTTATTGCACTATAGATGTGAGTACTAATAACCATCCAAAAGATTTAAAACACTAACTGGTTTTGTAATTCAGGTGACTTTTGAGCCAGTTCAGCAAATGCTTCTCCAAGTGCTCTCTGTGACGCTCCTGCAGCAGCTAGCTGAGCAGTTAACTGAGAGCTCAGACGGAGCAATCCATTGTATTTGCGCTGAGTTTCACGTAATATCTCTATTTGAGCCTCCAATTCTGCATGAAAAATTTTAAAATACGAAATACTAGTTATCATGTTAAAAATGTGGTACAAATAAATTGAATATCATAATTCTTACCAGTGTCCACAGTCCTTGAACTTTTCCCAAGCTTTTCATATAATATCTGTTTAGTACATTTGTAAGTAGATACACCCCAATTCCTCAGAGTCTCCAGTTTGGTGGAGCCAGTGCGAAGCAAGGTACTTGATCCTGCTGCACCATTCTGTGACACGTCAGGAGGAGCTGTAAAAATCAACAATAATTACAATGACAAAAGGATACAACATTTTAAGTACTTACTTATTAAGTGACTTTTACAATATAAGCTGTTTCAAAGCTAGAAATTAGTGTGTGAGAAGCTTCACACATTTCAGTCACACAACATAAAATAACACTAATGTTTCAATGTCCATTACATTAGTTGGATAGTCCAGCAAAATTTCGTAAAATTCAAGCTTTTGAGGTGTGCGACTTTTATGGGAGTCAAAATTGCTTTGTTGACCTATTTTATATTAACATATTGACATTCTAATTTTCCTGTTTGTCACTTTGTTGCTGCAATTACCCAATAAACTTTTATGAAGTGTATATACGTTGTTTGTTATTGGTTACAAGCTTCAGTTAGGGTAATGCAATGACATTCTATATAATTTATGAATTATAAAATGTCTTTGTTGAGAATAAATTTGCATTAATATTTTTTACTTTTGCTTAATAAACTAATTTCAAGTGATAAGCATATCAACTATACTCATTATATTCGCCTGTTGCGTAAAACACGAATAACTCCAAAGCTACGATGTCTGGAAATTGTACTGAATGTATACTCGCCATATGCAGGTGGAAAAGGCATCGAACGTGAAGTGGGGAATTTAGGTTCAGTTCCTGAGGTAATAGAGTCGCTTGACTCGCGCAGAGGTGGCGTGTCTTTTAACATTTCGTGGATACTTCGCTCTGATTGCCTGACAACAATTCACAGAATCAATAATTATAACATTCACCGGTTACGGCGGAAGTTCACTTTGCAATCATTTTCGGTCATCAAATTACAACAGTCACAAGTTAATAGATTGATTTTTCAAACACAAAACCTAAACTCTAGAGAAATAAGTTTAATAATTTAACGTTCAACGATGTAACGCACCACTTTGACATTACGCCGGAAAATGTTAGTTATTTTAGGTAAAATGTTAAGTAACACTTAGGGTTTTTCATCAAATACAATCAATGGAAAGAAAAAGCTAACATTTATTGAAGAAAATGAAGATATTGCGAAGAAGGTTCTCCGTTATATCAACGAGTTTCATTGACTTTGACTATATATTTTGACGTTTACCAAAGACCAAAAAAGACTATTCCAAAGAGTACTTTTTAATTATAATTAGACCTACAAGTTACGACTCACTGATTAGAATTATAACGCATACAATTATTACTTTCCGGTATGACGAAAATAGTTATTTGTTATGCAAAGCTACAAAGTTGTTGATTGACGCGGGTGCTTGTATTGAAACCAGCAGGCATTCCATAAGTTTGTGGCTTTGCGTAACGGAAACACACGGCGACTTTTAGCAGCGATGCAGTAGCTGATCGTCTATCTCTTTAAGGTGGATTCACATTGCACAAATTCTGGCAATATAATGCCGCAATTTATCGCGTTGCGCGACATGACTTTGAGTTGACCAATCAGGTGCTGCGACCTTAGCTCCTAAACGCGATGCAAACACGCAACTGAAAATAGCTTATTACATCACAAGTGTAGCGATGCAATCGCGTGTTTGTATTGATGCAATTGCGAGTTTGTATCGATGCAGCCGCGCGTTTGCAAAATTGAAAAAGTTTGTTGCACAACAGTTCATCGTCAAGTTAGAATTTCAAAAAAATTTTTCCACGCAAACGTGGAAAGTCTTTCTGCTCTAGCGAGCTGAAAAGGATATTTTACATATCGAATTCTTAGGTTTTCGCGATTGTTACACATAGGAAATAAAACTATTTTTCCGGATTTACATTTTTCAAACAAACCGGCGCCGACGTTTAGGGCCCTTTACAGGTCCCATGGTTACGGTTTACTGTGGTGGTACAGTCTTCAACCAGTTATGTCTAATATTAATGCAAACCACCCTATTTTTTCACTATAGTTACAATAGATAGTAATTAAATACCTTATTTTTAATTTTACAAATAAAACATTCCAAATTACGCTATATTAAGTTTTACAAATTATTTTATTGAATGAATTTTTATTAAGTTCAATTTATTAGTAATTAATAATAGAAATTAGAATTAACTAAAACACATTAATTAGTACTGCAGTCTTATGTCTGTTTGGGATTTTTCATCAGAGGAAATACTGGATCCCAAACTCTCGCAGCATCCTCTATCATAAATCGGTATAGCAATGGGCTCTCCGGTATCTCCCGTTGTTGCCGATATTTTTATGGAAGACTTCGAGGAGCTAGTTTTACCCATGGCCCCAGCTAGGCCGAAGTTTTCAAACGGTACGTTGATAATACTTTCACAATATTACCTAAAGATAGCATACCTTCTTTCTTGGACCATCTTAATTATTTTAGTACTAAGATCCAATTTACTATGGAACAAGAGAATTGTGGTACTTTAGCTTTCTTAGATGTTTTAATTAAAAGAAATCCTAATGACACCGTAGGCCATACTGAATTTCGAAAGAAAACCCATACAGATAGGTATCTCAATGGTAATTCCCATCACCATCCTAGCCAGTTAGCTACCGTGGGCAACTCTTTGTTTCAGAGAGCACATGGTGTCAGCGACAGTAATCATCTGCTAGGTGAACTTCAGCATATAAAGTAAGTCCTACACGCATTGACTTACAATTATATGGACGTCGGGTCCGCGCTAAAAAGTGTACGAACTTATAGGACGTATTAAAATCGTATACAGAGCGTCATTCACGCTTTAGTCTTCGTTTGTTCGACTGACAGCGAAGCAAGCAAAATTAGACAGTACTGCGATGACATTACAATTTCAATTCAACGTTTTAGCTTTTTCATATTCCTTTACATGTCACTACGTTTAAATAGGTTGACTTGGGACATTTTTTTCGTGGCTTTTATATTAGACCCGTCGTCCATTTATTTGTAAGTCAATGCCTACATGCGAATAAGTTGAAGATTCCACGCCAATACCGCAGGCCCCGTGTGAAAGCACCAACAGTCGAGCGAAGACCTGCCATTTTACCTTATGTGAGAGGTGTTACAGACAAGATCGGAAGAGTCCTCTGGCGTGTATAATTAATAACTATTGTAACTATAGTGAAAAAATATTAGACATAATTGGTGGAAGATGTACCACCTAAGTCAACCGGGGCCCAAAACGTCGTTTTGTTTGAAAAAACAAATATACGCGATTGAAATCCGGAAAAATAGTTTCATTTCCTAGGATATTTTACACTAAGTAATATCATATGTTATTAGGTATCTTCCCACTTACTTATAAATATTTATATTGGTCTTCTTAGCCTCTGTTCCAGCGGTGTTTGAAGTAAATGGATGGTTATTCTCACGTGAATCAGCGCTCTCTGTTCGGCGAATCGAGCCTCGTAAACTATTTCCCCATAAGCAATGAATATTGGGCAATCTTCATTGTCCGCACCACAGGAGGATTCCACTACAATTACATTATTAGTTGTATTCACTACACTATTCTCTGCACTATTAGTCTGTACTTCTCGATGTTCAACAGTGATAGCTAATTGATATGTTGACGGAGATACGGCCGGCAACCGAGGCGTCACATGGAGCCCCCAGCGCAGCCGCGCTGCAAGAGAGGTGGCTGCGTCGGAGAATAGATGGAGTCTCGCGCTCGGTGCCGTGTGAGCCCTCGTTATAATGACAACAAATTTCAAGTTGTATAGTAATAACAGTCTCATAAACTCTAAAATAAATGTAAAACATTCGAATGCCTATACTTTTTTTACAATTCCTATGATCCAATGTTTTTCCCAGTAATCTTTTATATGTTTTTACAGGGTTTTCTGCTTGACTCAATTATATATATATAAAGCTACAAGTTTAGACTCACTGATAGAAATAGAACGCGTACTTCCCGATATGGTGGCAAAAACAAATTTATATCGTTGTACGTGGATACGTACTTTTGCTTTTTGCTTTGGAAGCAAAGAAAAAATTTGAGAGGACCTGAATGTGGAAAATATAAAGAGTGATCAACGGCCTGCAAAAACTATATATAATATATGGCGGGAATATTTGTGCATTTTTATGAGGTACACCCTGGACAATTTACGCCGGAATGAAAAAATGTTCGAAATTCAAATAGACAATATGGCCGCCATACAAAATTCAAAGTCGTTTATCACGGAGACTATTCGAGATAGATAGGAGGTGCTCGAAGGAATGTCATAGAAGGTAACACTGGTCAATTGCCTGGGTTAAAAAAATTCAAAATGGCGAATTCAAAATAGCGGCCGACGAAAAACTTGGTTCGATCCGGCTGAAAATCGGTATGATTAAGGACTCCTAAACATCCCCGGTTTAGGAGTCCTTAGTCATAATTTGGGGTCAAAAGTTTGTTTTCGCCATTTTTGAATATGGCTGCTATGTATAAGCGTTTTGTTTCATCGAAAATAGCTGCTGAAGGAGATCTGAGTATGAGCTCTGAGGATGAGATCAGAGGAGGAGCTCTGATTCGGCTTAAAATTGGTATGCCTAGGTCTCTAGAAGTGCCGAACAAAATTTGTTTTTACGAGTACAAGATCTCACAATTGTAAAAATGTAAGGCATACTTCCCGAGGTAGTGGAAGTAAGATACTTATAATAGCGTTCTTGTATCTCCACGGTCTCTCTGTTACATTCCTTTTTTTTAAGCTATGCCAAAGAGAAGTATTTAGGAGGAGAAAAAATGCCAAACTTCTGCCGAATGTCTTGTACTATGAATACCAGAATAACGATAAATCTGAGAGCAATACCCAGAATACTCAGACCAAAACCAACTTAGAGAAGTTAGTTTCTTAAATTGGTCCAAATCGGGAAACCTCCTCATCAAGCACCCCATGGCACTAACCGCTGTGCCACCGTAGAGCATGAGCACACCCCATAATCTGAACCCGACCACGCGCCGCAGGACGAGCCCGACCCCACCGTAGGTGGGGTACAGGTCTCGTATAATATATTGATCTCAATATAATTACTAGGTCTTTCATTGACACTATTCCGCCTAGTAATTTTTTGATGATGATCCTTATTTGTCGGGTCGGTTTAGCAGTAATATCTTTACTTTTCCCAACTTTACCCCTAAAGAGATAAATCTTTTTTTAAACTATCCTCTAATGCTGGTATTCTCTAATGTTTGGGTAATAAGATGGTTCTGAAGGAGTCTCATTGACAATGAGACCTTACGCTACCGTAGGTACTGCCTGGACGCTTGTACATTACAGCTATCAAAACAAGTCACTTAAAAACTGGTAAATTTCCCACACATTGGAAAACTGCTTTGTTAAACCATAACCGTTGAGGTGCCCGGGGCGACTAGCGCCGAGAAGGCCGACACCCTGGCGGCTATGCTGGAGGAGGTGATCGGGGGGCTGGCGACTGTAACGCGGCCTACCAAAACCGCCGATCTAAGGGTCACCGGTTTTGACGAGTCGGTGACCCCGGAGAAGATCCAGGCGGTGGTGGCCGCGAAAGGCCAATGTCCCCAGTCCGCCGTGAGCGTGGGAGCCGTCAGGCTTGCCCCCAACGGGAGGGGGTCAGCCATCGTCCGCTGCCTGGTGACGGCAGCCCAACGGGTGGCGGCTGCCGGCCGCATGTTGGTGGGGTGGTCCTCCGCCGGGGTCCATGTGATGGAGCCCCTCCCCATGCGCTGCTTCAGGTGCATGGGGATTGGCCACACCAGAGCCCTCTGCCCGGCCAGTGTGGATAGGAGCGGGCTCTGCTTCAGGTGTGGCCAGGTGGGACACTCGGCCTCCGGGTGCACGGCAACCCCGCGGTGCTCGGTATGCACCGCGGCTCGCCGTCCAGCGGACCACGTAACGCACTCCCCCTCCCACCAAAGGCAAGCCGGCGGGGACCTCAGGACCCCCCTATTTAGGGACAAAGTATGGAGCAGTAATGCCAGCACGCCACCATATTATACTGCAGGGCAACCTCAACCACTGCGCCAGGGCACAGGACCTATTGGTCCAGGCCATGGCGGAGTGGGGGGTGCGGTTGCTGCTGTGGCGGAGCCATACTTTGTCCCCCCGCGGGGGAATTGGGCGGGGGATCGGGAGGAGACGGTGGCCATAGTGGCGTCGACTGCCGGAAACTCCCCCCCTCTAGTGGTGAAGGAACGCGGGTCAGGGTTCGTGGCGGCGAGGTGGGGAGAAGTCATCCTAATTGGGGTGTACTTCTTTCCAAACCGCTCCCTGGCCCAATTCCAAGCATTCCTGGAGACCCTAGAGAGGGCGGTGAGGAGGGCAGCTCCGACGCCGGTGTTGGTGTTGGGAGACCTCAACGCCAAGAGCGCGGCGTGGGGTTCTCTGGTCACC